ATGCTTATCTGAACGTATTATGTACCTAATTATAGATATACCAAGTGACTGTGCTCTCCATCCATTATATAGTATTATACCACAGTACTTCTAGTATAAGGCCGCAGAAATCTAGAAGTAGTCACAGATACGCAAGTTTCTAAAAAAGCAGACTTTGAATACCGAATGAGCTTCTGGTCTAGCCTTTTATCTTTCAAATGATTTTTATACCGCAATGTTAGTAGTAGATTGGTGAGAGTTGGTGATTTCTTGGTTCTAGACCACTGGTTTTTGGTTGGGTGTTAGTACTTTGGGTGAAGCAGCAGCGCGGTTTGGAGCAGGAAAAGAAGTACTGCGCAGTGACGGGAGACATATCCGGGAATGTGCAGACTAGTTAGTCACTGCTATAGTAATTGAACGTCACTCGCACACAGCAATAACTGTTAGTATAACTTCTATACTAGTAGTCACTGATACTTTGAAATTGCCGACAGAGGTCACCAGAAACCCGAAGACCGCAGGCATAAATCACATTGACAAGTACATCGAGATCTTATGTTCAACGATCATCTGATAACAACCGAGTGGCCGTTTAGAATTTCTTAGTACAACGTACTAGTAGACCCTCAATATGTGGGGTTTCATGCCTGAGAACTCCATGTCAGTGCCTGAGGTATCAACTCGGCTGGGCAACGTCATTGGCCACCCCCTTCCATCCTCCGAATTGGCTTGGATGCAGTTTATCCCTGCAATGAACAACAAGACCCGGCGATTCTGCAAGTACCAACTCACCGGGAATCATAAGGATTGCTTTTGTTCTGACCGAACTTGTTCAGGAGCAGGAGTTGACTAAGAATGCCCAGCCCGTCAGAATAATAATTCGGTTCCACCCGACCTCAACAAAAGCGGGCAGAAGGAGATATACGCCGTAGGGACCATCACGGGATCCCATTACTCCGAGATGGTAACTACCTCGTCCGCCGGTACGGCCACCTGCTCCTTGCTGTCCATCTAATTCCCCTGGTCCCATCGCTCCATTCCTCTCTGTATTTTTATGCCATTGACACGACATGTCCTCGTCCACATCCAATTCCGCCGCCCGGGGTGGTCGCCTGGAGCAGGCCATCACCAATCCAGGATCCGTCAAGATCAACGTCAAGGGCGCCTTTATCGTTGATGATGACCCGCGATCTAAGAGTCCCGTAAGAACGGACGGAGTTCATTACGAGGGCCATGATATTCGTCTTCCACATCACACGGGTCTGGTGAGCCATGTGGCTGTAGACGTGAGTGACTTTTTCTTTTTCTTTTTTTTTTTTTTTTCTTCGCTGCTCCCGCAGTTCCCCGCACAATTTTGAAGCTCCCCGCAATCGCACCCCTCGGCGCAATACCACCACCACCACCACCACCACAACTTGATTGACTAACTCTTGCTGCTTCGATATTAGATTGGCGGATCGCTAGCGAAATTGGTTTACTTCACACGGGAGCTGGACTCTGTCGACAATGGCGGTCGACTAAACTTCATTAATTTCGAAACATCCCGCATTGATCTGTGCATTGACTTCATCAAGCAACTGAAAGAGGAACACGAAAAGCTCGGCGGGCCATCCGGAGATGCTTTATGTGTAATGGCTACGGGCGGAGGCGCCTTCAAATACTACGATAAGCTCAAGGAAGCACTCAATGTGGACATTATTCGGGAGGACGAGATGGAGTGCCTTATTACGGGTATGCTGCAACCACAAGCTCAAGTTTCACTTGCAACGGAAACAAGCAAAGTCCAAACGTTGACTATTCTACATAGGCCTTGACTTCTTCATCACTGAGATTCCGAACGAGGTCTTTACCTACAGTGAAACCGAGCCGATGCAGTTTGCCGAGGCCCGACCGGATGTTTACCCGTACCTATTAGTCAACATTGGCTCCGGTGTATCAATGATCAAAGTATCAGGTCCCAAGCAGTTTCAACGTGTGGGCGGCACGCACCTCGGTGGTGGTACGTTCTGGGGCATAATGTCATTATTGACCGGTGCCCGCACCTTCGACGACATGCTGGCAATGGCGGACCGAGGGGACAATAGCGGGGTAGACATGTTGGTTGGTGACATTTACGGCATGGATTACAGTAAAATTGGCCTCAAAAATACTGCAATTGCTAGTACATTTGGCAAGGTCTTCCGTATGAAGAACCAGACGGAGCCGGACTTGGATGGGGAAAGTTCTTCCGACGGCGAAGCCGGCCGAACTAATGGCGAGCCGAAGTTCCAGCACGAAGACATGAGTAGGAGCCTACTTTATGCCATAAGGTATGTTTTTTCGCGTCTTCAATTACATGCTGGGCGGTTGGGACTGACGTTTCACAGTAACAACATTGGGCAGATTGCCTATCTGCAGTCCGAAAAGCATCAAGTGAAACACATCTACTTCGGCGGTTCATTTATTCGCGGTCATCGGCAGACCATGAACACCTTGTCCTACGCCATTAAATTCTGGTCCAAGGGCGAGAAGCAAGCCTACTTCCTGCGCCACGAAGGCTATATCGGTGCAGTTGGCGTATTCCTCCGTAGGCAGCCAGCTAACTGGGGCCGGAGGAATAGCATCGATGAGAAAACCATGCCGCAGGTGGCCAAAATGGTAGCCGAAGCGCAGCAGAATTCTGATTCTCAGAACCAATCATGATGAAGAGCCACGACTGCATGCTTCCGTCAGCATCATACTGGGCGAGCCGCGTCCAGTTCCATCATTTTGAGCGTTTGATACCCGTTACTGTGTTATTCTTGTGCTGCTTAGACCCAACATAATTATGCCCCTCTAATTCTTGAGGCTGCCCCGTTTGAAGACATCTTTTCCCTGCATTGATTAAGATGAATAACGATAAGAGCATGTCACCCAATTGTATAACTGTTCGGTTTCCTTATGTTGCACTAAACCCATCATCTCTTTCGGGCTTTTGTTTTGAATCTGACCATCCATCTGCTGCCCACAAGGGCAAAGGCAATCGTGCTTGGATGTTCTTGTTCGGTGCCTAAGTTGGAAGGCTTTGTTATCCCATTTGGTATAGAAGGACAAACCATCATAAGAGCATTTAGACAGAAAGCCAATAATAAGAAGACCAGGAATGTTGATGATTTCGATATATTGCAGTCATCATCCAATATTCCGACTGGCGAACCTACAATCATACCATCGGCCATGGCGTAACCCTACCACCTAATTCGACAGCCTATGCCAGCTAGCTTACCTCTCCTCCCTCCTATCCTTCAATATGCCTCTTAGCGTATACCCATTTCTCCAATCGGAGCTCCGTCACATCTATAACCACCAAGCCGTACTCAGATAGTAGGTCGCACTACCCAGAAGGCAGTGGTAGTCAGAACTCAACCTCTAATGCATTGGATACCAGCCATTTCCGTACGCGTAACACGTCCAACACGCCCCCAGCAAGGACGTTCTTTGGCTATGTTTCAGATTCCCCGAAACATGACACCAGACTATATATTCAGGTGAAACCATGCCGCCTCGTACTTTCAATCACTTTCTCGGCTTGAGGTAGCTGCCTGATCTGTCCATCGCTTCAGTTGTGGTTACTCACCGATAGGTTGTTGACTGCTTCTTGTGGCGTAAAAGCTGTGTCTGATTATGCTGTCGTCGGGGTTGTTACCAGGTATAAGGTTTTGTTGCTGTGTATATTGGGTGTGGTAGCTCATATTTCCCTGCTTGATGACTAGGTCATAGTAATCATGTATATATAGGTCATACTCTTGCTAAACTGAATCGGTTATTGAGGAGCTTCGCTAATAATATATATCTAGTAATATTAAATGCGTTCCGGTTGAAGGATTGCATGTCTAGCCTGCCGATTCATCGGGCATCAAAACTAAAAGTAAAGTTCAAGCCAAACGGAGATAGCCCAATATTAGCCCGGGAGGAAACAGGTTTGACCATCAGTCGGTGGGCTTTGCCCACCCAACGCAGTGGTCAAGGAGAGGAGCAAACAACCATCCGTTCGTATTCTGCAGTGGCCAGATGCAGCCGGCCGCTAGATCTGCGTTTGGAAGGCTAAACAGAGTAGTCTAGAGTGTCTTGGCACGAATCTGTCTGCAATTGCACAGAAAGTGAAAATGTCCATGTTCGGATATTGTATCTGCTTTTGGACTTTGTGCGCGTGAGTCAAGTTGAGTATGTTAAAGTTTGATGGGGATGCGTGCATATTTTCCCCGGACTATCCATCCCGGGGTTATTATGGGCTGAAGAAGAAGTCCCGCAATGTGATAGGAGCATTCACTACTAGCTGCTTATCAGTTGAGGTGAGGCAAACTGTTCCATTGGTGGTTTCCAGAACGCGTCAGGAAATACCGTTTCATACCCCAGGGGGTAAAGTACGACGAAGCGTGCAGAGCAGTGGAATTCTTCACTCCTGATGCACTGAGCTGTCAGAATCTTCTCGGTGATCCACTCTATTGCATTTCACCGGTCTTCGATTTCACGTTGGAACTGTGCATGTGCATTGATTTCTAACGTCTGGACTCTGCTCTGTTGCACCCATATCTTCTGGAAACTGAGACATTGAGTGCAAGCTGCCTCACTTTGGTGCACTGAGTTGGTGGTTTCAATTGAATTGAGCTTTACACTTGTACGGAACAGTCCGAGCTTATCTACTAGATATTAGAAATGCTAATTGGGAAATGCTTCACTGGTCATACTCAGACTTCATACTATTGAATTGTGAGATTCCAACAACGGTGATTTGCGCGGGTGACAAGGCACCTACCAGAGAGTTTTGACAGACAAGCCACATTATGTTTAAGCAGCTTCTCTGGTATGAAAAATAACCTAACGAGAAGAAGTCCCACTGTCAGACGTCTTTAGAACTCTCTGAGCTAGGTATCATCAGCGGACGTGTCTTTGTTTAGCAAACGCGCCAATTCCTCCAGGAGTAAGTCAACTAAACGAAGCTCCTTCGAGCACGCACTCTTTACTTGCACTGACCCACGTTAACCCTCGCGTCCAGACTAAGTATGAATCCTGCAGACGGTGCCGTCATCTTCTGGAAGGAAAGGTAAGATCAATTGCTGCTTTCGGATACATGTTGGCTGACAACTCTCATGCGTCATTGCTAGGGTGAGGCGCGCCTCTCGTCACATCGTCCACACTGAGTCTGACGACGAAGAACAGAAGCCAACAGTCTCTGTCGATGGGTCTCAAGCAGGCGATAACGACGACCAGGCGGTGCACGTCAACCCGAAGCCAGAGCTGGGACCTGAAATTCCGTTTCCTAGTTACCTGATGACAATTTTGGAACATTGGCACGAAGAGAAGGGGAACGAATATCCAAGGTGCAAAGTCAGTGGACGTCTGGGATCGATGGTCTGGAAAGTGTTTGATCGGAAAGGCAATGAGCTCGAGCTGACATGGTACCTCGTCACTAAACCGCGCAAGTACTGTGTGCTCGTGCTACATGAGGCGAATGGCACAGCGAGATTCGTCTATTGTGATCCGCCTCATCGCACTGTCCATGGCACATACCTTAGGCCATGGTCTGGCGTCGATGATAAAGAGGAACTAGAACACTGCGCAGTCCGAGTGTTTAGCAGCGACCTGGAGGAAATCGAATACTCTTCGGAAGCCTGGGAACATTTAAAGGAGCTCCAGGAATCCTCCGGCGAGGATGTTAGCAGATCTCCTTCGATCACCCGTCGCAAGTCCCCAAAAGATAAGACAGCCAGAAGAAAATCAGTGGGGGCAAGTTGCTCAAAACGGTACTCTATGAGAGGTCGCGCACAGGAGAGCGAAGAGCATACGGAAGCGGACCCGTCATCTTCATCGGAAGCAGGTTCATCATCTGAAGAAGAGAAGTACGTGCCCTCGCCACCACACAAGCGGCACAAAACTACCGACACCAGCAATACAAGCAACACCACTGAGTCTATGAAGCCTAGCAAGGTTGTATTTCGCCTCGGGTCCCAGAGAGTCATCGGTGCGATACGCTATATTCCACTGGATGAATGTAGGTCGAGGAAGGAGCTATTTGATAAAGCCACGGCATTTTATCAAGCTTGCGATAGAGACGCTCAGGTCAAGATACTGGCATGTCAGATCTCGACACAGCGTGAACAACACTACCTGTTCGAAGACAGTGATGGAGAGTTTCGCCTTTTAGTTGAGCAGGCACTGGGCTTGGTGGACAACTTGAACCGGATTGTGATTGACGTTCTGCACGTGTTACAAGCATGAGTGGGAGTGTTGTCGAGACTGTTGTGTCGTATGCTATCATTCGAACAGATTGTGAAATATTTCTATCAAGATACATAATTTAATTGGCCATTTCTTTTCCAGTGTGCAATTCCATCTCAGAGACACGCATTCGTCCAGAGTAGTTAGTATAGCTGACTAATCACCACGTGGTTGCAGGCCTGAACTGGGATGTGATTCGCGTCACCGACCAGCGCAATTGTGTCTTCAGCGCCAACTATAAAACCATCACATCATGCTACAAGCATGAATCCCGCTGCTCCTCCATGCCTTCCCTGCCCGACTCGCCTCCTCCGGTTCCCCCCCCCGTTCCCGTCGAGACCCATCCGAACCGCACGGTTGGCGTGAAGCCTACCGCCGCGCAACGAGATCTCCCGGATCCCAACCGGCTGGCCCCTGAAGATGCATATTACACCTCGTCCCTGCCTCGGGCTCGGCCGACCCAGACAGGGTACGATGATTCTCTCCGAGTGCTGAATGGCAATTCGGGCACTGCTGCCTCCGTGGCAGCCCTGCGACCGCCGCCCGCGGTCCCAGGAGTAGGGAGTCGCAAGGTGCGCGGGACCAGCAGACGGAGACGACGAAAGGGTGCATGGAAGAAGCTGCTGTGGGTGAAACAATCATGTGCGCTTCATACCCACCCCGAAACACACGACAGGAAATACTGACGATCCCAGACCCGGACAACTACACTGATACCGAGACGTTCCTTGACCACCTCCAGCGGAATCCCCGAGTGCGGCCCTACGATTTCTGGCCGCTAGTGGCCGACTCCACGGTCATTGTACAACATGTTAGCTCTGTGGCTATATTTGTGTGTTGCTTTGTCGGCATTGTTCAGGGCCGCGTAAGCCCAGTCTCTGTGGTCTGCTGGGGAAGTGTCGGGACAGCGTTGGGATGGATCTTTTGGGACTCGTGGATATTGAGAGAGCATGTGGAAAATGCGCATGTGGCGGAGCGGTCACTGGAGGGTGACGATGGCTCCAGTTCTAGCTCCATGACCAGCTCTGTCAATCCGTCTGGCACTAGCTCGCGAGCCAATGGCCAGAAGGAGAACCAAGTGCATGGCCTGGGGTTGAACATGGCGCAGGGCGAGTCAAGTGAACTGCTCCGGCGGCACAGCACGGGGTATGTGAGTGATGCCTACGGGGCACAGGAGCCCGCATCGCCTACGCCTGGGCCTGCGAACGGGGCCCTGGGTGGCGGTTCTGGTTCTCAGGAGTCGGACTACTTGTCGATGTTTTCTTCGCGGAATCGGCAGCGGCTGTCCACTGTGAAATCGGCGTTTTTGATCTACTTCGCGCTGCTCGGGCTTAGCCCGATCCTCAAGTCTCTTACCAAATCTACGGCGAGTGACTCGATCTGGGCCATGAGTTGCTGGCTACTGATCATGAATATCTTCTCCTTTGACTATGGAAGTGGGGAGGGCGCAGGCGCCACCAAGTTCCCGGCTTCTTTGTCCACTAATGCAGCGGTGATGGCCTCGACTGTGTTGGCGTCGCGCCTACCTTCTACCACACATGTGTTCAGCCTGATGCTGTTCTCAATTGAGGTGTTTGGGCTCTTCCCCATTTTTCGCCGGCAGCTGCGTCATGTGTCATGGACTGGGCATGTACTGCTGACCTTGGCTCTGGTCGGGGTTGCTGGCGGCGCGGTAGGGATCACCCTGCGTGGAGGATGGATGGCGGCGGTGGTTGGCTCGATCCTGGGGAGCATCCTAACGGCGCTGGCCATGGGGGGATGTAGCTGGTGGCTCATCAGCTTACAGAAGTATAAGAATGTGGTGACAGGGCCATGGGACCCTGCGCGGCCGATCATCCGGCGGCATTGGGATTAGCTGTACGCTTTCTCGGCTTTATATTTCATTTAGAAGATACCCTACAGTCTAAATTCAGACTTGTCTAGCGCTAATAATGAAGTTTAACATTGACACCCTCCTTTGCACGATTCAGCTCAAATTAGAAATAAGACACAACCTCTGATTGACAAATAGATGTAGCTTTTGGTGTCTCATCCGCCAATGCAGCCCAGCCAGCCGGTCACAATCCCACCAAGGCCCCAACATGCCGGAATGTTGTTTGGTATGTTTGTTGCCTTTCGTGGCAATTCTCGATCGCAGCTTCCCCAATCGCCATGTTGTATGTCTCAGCAAGTCACACTACCCTCATTCAAGCTATGCTATAACTGGAAACTAGTATTTCTGCAGCCACGGACATACCTGGCCTCCATCTCCGCGATCGAGCATCCACCCGGCATCTCCTCCAGAATGTTGCGGCGATGACCCCAGACTGATCGGAATGGTAGGAGTCGCCTTTTGTCCCTCATAACGGCAGGCTCCGTTCAATAGGCAGCGAATGGTGATACAAGAGGTACATACATATTTAGCACCACAGCCCGGAGTGACTCAAAAGAACGCGCACCACCACCACCACCATATATACCTCTGCTTGCTGTCTCCGGGTGGAACAACACAGAACAGACCCAGAGGATCAACGTATCAACAATCAGCAATATGAGAATAATCGCCCTTGGCCTGATGGGCCTACAGTGCGTGGCGAGCATGCGGTTCGCCATGTACGTCGATGAGTGAGTACCAAAAACATCCTCCTCATCCTACCTCTTTCTATACGCATCTAACAAAACTGGGGAATTAATCTAGGTACCACACAAGTGGCCTCCCTGGCTCCAACCAAACTCAAGGCATCACGCACGCTATCATGGCTTTCGCCCAGTCCACGCTCTTCAACTCCAACTCTCCTCCACAATTTACCCCCTTCGAGTCTGTCTCCACCATGCGCAGTCGCTTCAGCCCGGGGACTAAGCTCATGATCGCTATCGGCGGATGGGGCGATAGCTCGGGGTTCTCAACGGCCGCGAAAGATGAGACTTCTCGCAACCAGTATGCGAAGAACGTAGCGACTATGGTGAACCAGCTTGGTTTCGATGGTGTTGGTATGTCTCCATACTCTTCCTCGCTATCTTGTCCCGCAACTAGTATTGACCGAAATGTATAGACATTGATTGGGAATACCCCGGCGGTAACGGCCAAGACTACAAGACAACACCGAACAGTGCTAAAGTATCTGAAATCACCACCTATCCCTTATTCCTCCAAGCGCTACGAAGTGCCCTTGGCCCCAACAAACTTCTCTCTATTGCGGTCCCCGGCAAGAAGGAAGATATGATCGCCTTCACCAACACCACAGGCCCGCAGATCTGGCCCTCGGTCGATATGGTGAACATCATGTCGTACGATCTCATGAACCGCCGGAATAACGTCACAATGCACCATACCTCTGTTGTGGATTCGTTCAATACCGTGCAGGCGTATCGGGATATTGGCCTCCCTGGTAATAAGACAAACCTGGGAATGGCGTATTATGCGAAGTGGTTTGAGACTGATCCCAATGATGAGAAGGAATGTGAGGATCAGCCGATTGGGTGCAAGGTTGTCGTTATGGAGAACGCAGATGGGAGCGATAATGGAAAAAGCGGGAGTTTGACGTTTGAAAAAAGTGTTATGAGTGCGCCTCCGACTAACCTGAAGACGAGTGTGGATGGCACCTGCGGGTTTGATAAGGGGACGAAGTGTCCCTCTGGAAGTTGTTGCAGTCAGTACGGAAACTGGTATGTCAACCCCGCCTATCCTCCATGCGAATGTATGCTAATATGTGGTGGATATAGCGGAACAACCGACGACTTCTGCCAAGCAGGCTGTCTATCTGACTATGGAACATGCAAAGGCATCTCAATCACGGATTCATGGCGGCGCGCGCAAGAAAACGCCAAACTGGACGATGTCATGGGTGGAGAGTACTACTTTGATGACGAGGTCAATGTGTTCTGGACATGGGATACGGCAGACATGATTGCACGCAAGTTCACCGACATCGTGGATAAGCTGGGACTCGGGGGTGTTATGGCATGGAGTTTGGGCGAGGATACATTGGCATGGGAGCACTTGGGAGCCATGCAGAAGGGTGTTGCCTCCAGGTAGTAGTAGAATTATCTCTTCAGCAGAGCATCGGGAGATGGACGGAGTGTCCAGTAACTTTGGAGTTGAAGGGAGTAGTTTATTTGATAGTAGTATTGAATGGACCGCATATGCATATGCCCTTTTTATATCCGCTCACTCGCAGTAGTAGCAGTAGTAGTAGTATGTATATCATGCAAAATGTCCAGCACATATCATGCCATCCCCCATCATCCCAGAAAGAAACCATGCATGCATGCAAGATGATGCCATATATGGAACACCCAAAAACGCCATAAACAACCAGGGTATCACTCATGCCTCATGTCCCGTATACGGAGTAATCCCAAACAGACAAATAACACTAAAAAGCAAACCGGGGAATAAAGGCAACAGAGGAAAAGGAAATAAAAGAACAACCACAGCACATCAACTAGATGCCAACCCCTGCTGCTGCACCTGTCCCTGTCCCTGTCCCTGTCCGGACAAAGATATCCGATCGTCTAGCCCCCTTTCCTCCCACTCTGTTAATAAGCGCGACACCTCCTTGAATGATACGGGCTTGGTAAGGAACAGGTTCACGCCCGAGGTTAAGGCCTCGGATTCATCGCGCGAGCTGCTCAATCCCGTCAATGCGATGATAACGGCTGGTTTGCATGTTGCGCCGCGCTCTTTTTCGAGGGCGCGGATGGCGCGAGTGGCTTCGAAGCCGTTCATTACGGGCATGGACATGTCTGTAGTGATTTTGTTAGGATGTTTGAATGGTAGTTGTAGGGTGTTGGTGAGGACTAACCCATAAAGATAATGTCGTAGCTATGTTGGGCCCGTTCGACTGCGTCGACAGCTAATTTGCCGTTCTCGGCGGAGTCGAGGGCTGCAAGGTGCCGCTTTTTCATGAATGTGAGCATCAGGTTCAGGTTGATGCTGTTGTCGTCGACTACGAGGACGCGGGCGCGTCGCTCGTTTTCGATTTGTGTTACAATGGGTTGTTTGAAGGGTGATGGGGCGCGGATCGGGAGAGGTGAGTTGATGGTATATAGAGGTGCATCCATGCCGTCGGAGTCTTGCGAGCGAGGATACTCAGCTGATGAGGTGGAGCCGGAGCTGATGGTCATCTCTGGGGCGAGCTCGGAGGTGTCGGTTGTGATTTCGAATAGTCTCTCTCCGGGTGAAAGGTCGCTCCCGGAGGAAATGGTAGTCTGGCGTGGCCGTTCGGGGAGCTCGAGGGTGTGTGGTGCGGTGTTGCTACTATGCGTATCGAGACATCTGCGGATGCTGCGAGCGAGTTTGTGTGGTCCACATGGGCGGCGAACGATGTTGACCACATTCGCCAAGGATGCCCATTGCGAACGCGCGGTCGTGTAGTCGACGGATTTGTTGCAGAGGATCAAGAGCGAAGGGAGAGTCGCGTCGCCGGTTGGCCTCAGACCGTCCAATAAGCTCTGCTCCTCCGCCAGAATGACGTCCACAGGCGTGCCCGACGGCCATGAAACAAGCTCGAGGCCATACCAGTCGATCAAGTATCGCGAGTAGATGGACCACAAAGGATGGGAGGCAGCGTCGGCGGGATCCACGCCAAGGATGGCGGCGCGTCGACCAACATGGGCCTCGCGCAGCAGACGGCATTCGGTTAACATCTCCTGCTCCCTCGTAGATGGCGACACGGGACGGATAGGTTCTTCCAACTCCAGCTCCGGACCAGGTCGTACGAGAGGCAACGAGACCTTGACGATAGTTCCCTCGCCCGGCCGGCTGTGGATGTTGATGCTGCCCTTCAGAGCCTTGACGAGACTTCTCACGATTGACAGACCCAGGCCTGTACCGACTGCAAGCGTGTCCTCCTGGGCGAACGGCGTGTACAGGCGGCCTCGTAGGAACTCCTCCGAGATACCCTTGCCGGTGTCCGACACCGTCAAAGTCACTAATTCTTCGACACCGTTCCGACGCACGCGGCCCTCGGACGCCTCTGTAACTTCCAAGTGCAGCGACACGCGACCACTGTGCGTGTACTTCATGGCGTTGCCAAAGACGTTCATAACAATACGTCGCAGAGCTCCGGGCTGCGTTTGATAGACCCAGTCATTGTGTGCAATGTCCATGACCACCTCAACTGCAGAACCGGGTTTCGGTTTCGTTTCCTTGTCGGGCTGGATCTGGCCCTGCTGAGCAAGCGGCAGGACAACAGGCTGATCGTAAGGGGCTGCGGATCGTTGACCATATGCATGACCCAGACACACGCCTTCCACCACCTCTTCTGCCAGAAGGGCCAAGTCGGTCGCCACGTAGGTGTCCAAGTGGGCAGAAAACCGGTCCATGCCCTTGACGTCTGTGGACGACGTCTTGTTCCGCTTCAGGCTGCGATAAGTTCGTTCCAAGGATACGATCTTGCTAAAATCAAGTACCTGGTTCATTGTATCCAGCAAGGTGCGCCCACAGGCATTGACGGTCTCCAGGAGAGACCCCTGGAATTCATCCAGGTTCGTCCCATTCAAAAACTCGGCGGCCGCCAAGATACCGTGCAGCGGACTGCGCAACTCGTGTCTGAACAAGGTTAGTATTTAGTGAGACATACGAGAGAACCCGACTTACGAGATACTGCCAATGAAGTCGCCCTTTTGCCGGTCGGAGATGAGGGACTCGACCCGGTTGCACTCGGCCATTATGGAGGAACCAAATCCCAAAATTGAACTGAGTTCCACGGACGAGCTGAAGACGCGCGTCTCCTCCGTATTCCAGCAGAAACACCCGGCGAACCACTGTGAGTTGGCGGAATTCCATAGCGGCACGAAGAGAACCTGAGTCGCATTGGGAAAGTAGAGGTTAAGCATGGAGTTCTCCACGGATTTCCACTTCTTCGATCCACCCTTGCCAATCTCCGGCCCCTTTGGCGCACGCGATCGACTCTGTCGAGGAGTCTCATCGTCGGAGCTGGAAATCATACCGTCTCGATGAAACGACCACAACTTCCCCTTGCTGTAGCGTCGCAGGAGCTGATGCAGAAACGTGTTGTCGAGATTCGCGGCAGGATAGAGCACCTTGGAGCCTGGGCCCGGCGCAAACGGCTCATCATTGGTAGAAATCGCCAACACCGGTGCAGGAGTGTTGCCCTCTACAGAGCCATCGCTGCCAGTGTCCGTGTCCAGCATCGGACTGTTGCTGTTCTCCACGAAGATAACACCTCCATCGGAACCCAGTTCTAGACTCTCCCGAATCAGGTTTGCGGCTCGTCGGAACGCCCAAGTGTGTCCCTGCGACTCGTCCACCCCCTTCAATTCCTTCTGGCGGTTACCGGACCACCAGTCTGGTAGTGGCGTGTCAGGACCCGACGACACTGCTTGATCGGCTTTATAGTCCGATGCAGAGCTAAATGAACGGGCGTCGGTGCTGTGGGAGCGTCTCGATGGCATATCGAAGCTGTTGAAGGAGCCCACGGACAAGTGATTGGCTCTTTGGCTCGAGGATGGTGGGGTGCTGGGTGCAGCGGCAGAGCTGCCAGCTAATGACGGATGAGAGGCATCGACGAAGCTGGAGCTGCCCTCGACAAAGCAGCTGAGACCGCGCGACAATCGAGTTGCACGACGACCTTCTGACGCCTGGCGGCTGACCTTTAAATAATCCATGATCAAGTCTGCCAACGACCCAAGGGTCTCTTTCTCCACGTCATTCAACCCATTGTGTGGTTTGGTATCCAGAACGAAAAAGCAACCGATGTTGATGTTGGTGTGGGTTGTCAAGGGCGTTCCGGCATAGAAACGAAAACCTGGCTCGCCCTGCACGAATTGAAGTCGCTTGTAGCGATCATCCTCGCGCAGGTCGTCGATCACCAGGAAGCTGTGTTGACCTTTTTCTCGGTTGTTGGGCGGGAGCGCAACAGTAGCCTGCAACGAAGGACGCAATACTTTGTTGAGTAACCGATCTACGAACTTCTCTGACGAGTTGGTACCTACCTTACACATACTCCAGGCGTTGGTGGACATGGACGAGCAGCCATTCCAGATGCCATCGCCAGCGGACTCGTAATCACTGACTTTGCCAGTGCGAGTGCTTTGAGCGAGAATAAATTGCGACTGACGATCTGACACACTTACATACCCATTGAGTCAGCACGGCAAGGGCGAAAAAATGTCGAAGAGATGCACTGGTATCGTACCTAATCAACACGCGCTCAACATTGAGACGCAAAGCTGCCAGCTGCGCGAAAGATGTTAGAGTCGCATTAGGGTCACCCAAGACCAAGGCCTCGGGCACTAGCCCCGTCGAGGCTGGCCCGATGGCGGGACCAGACTGCGATTGCGAGCATAGCGATGGGGATGGCGGCGGAAAAGAAGGATCAAGGATAGTGGGTGGTGGTGCGTCGTCGGACGAGATACTCTGATAGCGCTCCTGATAACTGGCTGTCCGTTCGGGGCGGAAATAGCGATATAGCTCGCGCACCCTCCGGCCAGTGCTATGATCATCGTCCCTCGGAGGAGAGGAAGCGAGCTCCATGGTGGGGGGGGGGGAGATGGGGAAGGAGGATAGAGGGACGAGAGGAGGGGGGAGAGAGAGAGAGAGAGAATCAAGTTTAGAAGGGGAGTAGTTCAAGCGATGGCGTCGATTGCCTTACGCATCCATCCTGGCCTGGGTGGGGACTAGTAGATGGTGGCTGGCCCGATTGAAATAGAGTGTGGCAAAAAAATGCTGGCGGGGGCTGAGAGGAAGGAAGGGAGAAAGAACTGCTGATGGAAGGGAGAGAGAGAGAGAAAGGATGAAGAGAGATCAGGAAGAAGCAGCAGCAGCAAGAGGAAAAAGCAAGAGAAGGGGAAAAGGAAGAAAAAGAGAGAAGAAAGCTCTGAAACAAGGTTGGAAAGCGAGCTGTTTAATATCAAGGACTGCGTGCAGGAAGAGGGCGAAAGTGCGTCTGTAGTCGAGCAGAGCCAGTATTGGAAGTACTAGTAGATGGCAGCCGTGGGAAGTCGGATTTCCGGCCCACGCTTATTCCACGGCAGACAGGCACAAATTCAACTAATTTTTTGGGGGTTGCGTCGTCAGTCAGTGCTCAGTACCTGGGAGTCATCCCGTGGCAACCGAGAAAGAGAGTAAAAGGTGGCAAGCGAAAAAGAAGGTATTGGCAGACTGGATCAGAATGATGGACGAATGCCCCGACGAATGGGATGGCGTGGGACCTCCAGTGAATCGGGATGCCAACTCCACCAGGTACCCAAAGTATCGAATTGTCTAATCATACAACTTGCTTTGCTTGCGTTCCTTTGGTTCCAAGTAATCCCGTAACCGAGGGTCTCCCTTCCGCGCCGTGATTCAAAACACATTTCAGATTGATTTCAGCCTGTTGAATTCCATTCGTGATTGGCCAGTCACTACATCACAATACCGGTTTTGCTGTTTGGCGCTAGGCTCAATTCAGTTGATCAAGGGGTCTGTTGTGGATCCTCATTGGTTCTAAATCCCCGTTTCCGGGCTGGCAAGCCACCAGTCAGGGGCCAGTCTGGCCCGCATTGGTCCATTCCTCAGGTGTCGAGGTACTACTTCCTGTCTATCAGGCTATCTATCTTGTGCGGATTTGCTCAGCCGCTGCAGCACATCGACACACTAATGAGATGGCAAATTGAATAAGGCAGTCACTAGTAAGGCCCCATCTGCTCTCTGACGTCGTGGGGCGCATCATGATCGACATGGGCTGCAGCTGATGCCCGTTCAGCCGCCATTCAACTGGCGGGCCATGCAATGGCGGTGACTAAGCGGTCTAGAATCCGGATTGGGCGGGGAGATTTGTGGCTTGCTTAACCGGGTTTAGATACTGTGGATGGGTACTTGAGATCCTTACTTTGGGATGGGGACGGGATATTAATTGAAATTAATTTGGTGACTGTTGGGATGTGTAGGGGTGGCTGTGTGGGTGGCCCGGGACATATGCACACACACTCACACCACTCTTCATATTCATGAAAGAGATGACTTGCAGGGCACAATTACTCATTGTGGATGCTGTATGACATTCCGCCCTCTCTCCCTCCCTTGACATCAGCCCCAGCACCCCCCGCAGGGCTTGCTCCCACAATCGAATGGGGCTCGATGGCGATATGACAGCTCCAATCGTCAGCAAATAGTCAACTATATGTACGATCTAATATAGATAGGTATCATGATACAGCCCAGATCTACACCCAAAATCAAGAATCATCCGATCCGTCCCTCCAATAGGGTCCCGGCCCGGCCACTCGGCCCTCTAGAATCGTTCCATCAGGCGCATCCGAACCGTCCACATCCGGGCCCGTTTGCCATAAATGTACATGGGAATTGAAAACAATAGACAGCCCAGCTGGATCACTCCCAGCGCGATAAACACCAACCGGGAGCCCTCCGCATCCAGCCAGTCAACAATGAACAGCGAAAAGATCAGCCCATGGAAAACATCTGCATCCATCGTTAGTTTGCGGATCCACATCACTCGGGAATGCTATGTTTGGTGCAACTTACTCTTACTCCAGTTCAATGTCACCAGTGCCTCCCCTGCATATTGGCGGTAGCTGTCGACGCAAAAGGTGATGGATGTCGTGCTTCCCAGGCAGCATCCAAATGAGATAATGCCGAAAAATATGGTGGGCACAATCCAAGCATCCTTCTCCTGCGCACTCCAACCGAATCCCATCAGTCCAATGGTGGTCGAAATGGCAATGGGGATGGCCATCACCAGCCGGAACTCCGGCTCGTAGACGCCCCCGTTGCGTCGTGTCATATATTGCACAATAATGTCAGACACTTTACCAGCAACAGCGGTACCCAGCAAGCCGCCCACGAAGGGCGAGATGTAGATGAGACCAGTCTGCAGTGCGGTGAAGTTGTAAGTGTCTCGCTGCTCATAAATTGTAGCAACCGACTCGGACAGCACGATGAGCCAGCCGACAGACAAAGCATACACTACAGTCGACCACAGCACAGAGGGATAAGCAAAGAGAATGAATGGCCGCACCGCGACGCGTAGCCAGTTATCGTGAGCAATCCGGCCATTCCACGGGCGGAGATAATACGTAAACGGGATGGGCGGCTGATCCCGGAGTCGGTTGGTGTACTGAGCCGCCGACGTGATCGGCGGACCCGGGTCCAGCGACTCACTGCGAGTTGGGGAGATCGCCGCTTCCCGAGCAGCTTCAAGATCATGGGGGTGAATGTGCGCCAATGGCGGAGGATGAAGGAGCCCATCCGCCTTCTCAGGGTCTTCGCTTGGCGTCGACTCAGTGGCAGGACGCTCTGGTGTTAACGATATAGGATCCTGGCCAGTCGGCTCCTCTATCTTCTCAGAGATGGTCTCTGGTTCCTCGTCATGGTCATCCACAAACCCAACATGACCCTTCTTGGACTTCTTCGGCTCTAGAGAGCTGGGGTCATCATCCGGTGGATTCTCCTCCAGGCGATGAGCGTGAGGCGGTCGACCCCGCAATCCATGGGACACAATGTTCGACACGCTACGGTAAAAGCTGGGACGCTTGTGAGCCTTTCGTGGCCGAGGTGTGCGATCCCAGAATGTCTCGGGGACAAAGAAGAAAAGAAGGGCGAGGCAAGCGCCAACGACGATAGCAACAATCCAGAAAACCCAGCGCCACCCCAGACTCCCGATGATAGCTGCACTCACTAGGGGAATCAAGTTCTTGCCTCCTAGGAGCAGGAGGGTATATATACCGACCCGGTACGCCCGTTCGTGCAGGAAGTAGATCTCAGCAATAGTGGCAGAGGGGAGGCACTCGACCGGGCTTACTGCAATGCCCTGGAAGATACGAGCGATGACCAAGCTGGGGTAGTTTGGTGACAGTGCACACCAGACCGCCGAAATAATGAAAAGGGTCGCTCCGAGAAGATATACCGGCCGCTTTCCATACAGAATAGCTGTAGGAGACATGATCACGGACCCAATCCCAAGACCCAACATGTACAACCCCGTCGTATATGCGACCTTCTGGGTGGTCACCTCATACGCAGCAGCTACCTGACTGAAACCGGCGGCCAAAATTGGGGTCATACCGCCTCCCATCAGGCAATAGAACCCCAACGACACCAGAGCTGCATCTCGTCGCCATACAGGCCAATTGAGAGGATCGTTCATGGAGTCATCGGGTTGAGGGTCCAACACTATGTTGCCATCCGGTGTTTTCTTTTTCTGCTGGCGCACACGAGAGGCACGGGAAGCACGAGAAGAGGAACGGGACGGTGGATAAGGCGATGGCAGCGACGAATGCGATTCGCGGTGCGGTTGATGTTCCAGACCGAGAGGCTCATTGCGATTTGACGAGAGTAGAAGAACGGTCCCTAAATTCGCATGTGAATGTCAGCAAGATCATACTCAAAGGCCAATTATTGTTCCTACAGCTGCAACATACCAGGCACTTCATCCGTCTCCTTGTCACTTAGAATACCCAGAGTCCTTTTGGGGCGATAAGGGCTTTGACCCGTGGTAATGGCGGGCGTTTCAGGGGCATTAGACCCCCGCAGCCGTTTCCACCAGCTTCTAGCTGGGTTCGACTGCTGTGCGGGGGACGCCGTGGCAGGCTCTTCTCCGGTCGCCATTGCAGTGGAATCAAAGCAACGGTTCGGGGAAGGGGTCCCGCAATTGGTAAATCGAAGCTAGTATCTGCAAGTAGCGTCTAGTTAGCTAGGACCCTGGCGATAGCTTGGGAGGGTAGAGGAGAGGATATTTTAAGGGTAGCACGAACATGCGTTGTGGATTTCTAACCACACAGACGAAATAATGTACACACAAAGAGAGCAGAAAGACTGAACAGGCCACTTGTTGATCGAACGATGGTCAAGCAACCCGAGAATGATATAGTATCTCCACACCTCGAAGCGACTAAACACGATCACGGCCTGCGACGGAAAAGCAGAACCGGCAACTGCGCAGGCTCAGCAGGCAACATGGTGTGGGAGGAAGGAAGCCATATATATCCTCAAGGTGCACGAAGAGCTAGGGAAAAAAGGAAGGAATAAAAAAAAAAGGAAGAAAGCCCAAACAAACAATGATATGAATGATAAAAAGAAACACAGCGTCGAATCAGTCGGTGAGGATGGTGGGCGGGGGATCACGCGGCTGAGTGGACGATGGCGTTTTGAGATTTTTAGGATTTGGGGGGGGGAAAAGATTCGAAGGCGATTCCCGATAAGAACCACCCTCCATTTTAGTTTTTTTTTAGGTTAGTTCAAGTCAGTTGTGGTTGCTGCTAAGCTGAGAACGGGGTGTCAATTCAATGTCATTCTTTGATTGCACCGCAGCGGTACCGGATGGGTACCTCACTGCTCCACCCCACACCCGCGGTAAGACAAAGTACCTCTGGCGTCTCCCAATGGGCATCCTCGCTGGCTCAAGATTGACCAGATTTAAACTCCCCGATCGACAAGCCGGACATGCATGGGCTCACATGGGAGGTCTTTAAACCACCAGCGCATAGCTGTTTGACTCAGGCCGCTTCACTAAGGGAGATAGCTAATTCTTAATTTTTCGTAAAATGTAAAATGGTGACGAAATAAGCTACCTGGGAGTGGTTGGACTAGGAAACTTTCAACCCCTCCGGAACCGTGAAAATGGGCGATGGCTGAGCATTCCCATCTTTTTCCCATCTTTTGGGGGAGGCGAAACACATGCGGTCGGGGATGCACGTGGCCTGCTTAGCTGCCAAGCACGAGACGGTCCGTCTGTATGTCGACACCATGTAAGAAGCAAGCACGCACGACGTGGTGACTCAAATACCCAATTCCAATTCTCCGTGAGATAAGAATTCTCTTTCTACTTCTTCACCCATACTCCCCCCTTTTTTGGCTGCATTTTGTGGCTTTCTTTCGCCGGCTTCTGGCGTGTTTCACCCATTGACTGACCGTTTGTTGCTTTGTTGCTTTGGTGGGGTCTATTTCACGAGGCGATCCTTCCAAGGGATCATCGGGCGCGCCAGTAGCTCATCATCTGATATGTCATTCTGGAATTGAACGACAACTGGCTTGCAAGCAGCAACCAGGTTAATGCTGCAGCGGACTTTGTAGGGTGGGGTAAGCCTAAGCTTGGTGTTGCAAACCAGACCGGGCAACCAGGATTGTAGAGACGATCAGGGGAGGTGAGGCCCAAAAGGCGATACGAAGATTGGCTTCAGAAAGCGCTCCGAGCGCACAGGATGACCAAAATGTCGTCATCGGATGCACTTTGTCTTTCTCTTCAACGTCCAGCGCAAGACATCCAGGTGGATCTCGGTCGCTGCTCAGCTGGACAATCGCCCGCAATGGCGGTCCAATCATTCCAAGTGCCCCCGGACTGGCTCCCGGACTGGGGTACAACTATAAGTCAAGTCTAATAATCTGTGCAGCCTGGTGGGTAGTAGCCGGATACATAATGACAATGCATCTGTCTGTTGCAGTACATCAGTCAGGTATTGCGACATGAGTTTTCCTGCCACAGCAGAGAACAGTCGATATGACAGATCCTCAGGCCTTGCTTGATAGACGTGTGCTATGTGTATGCATGTGCTGGCCTCGCTGCCTCAGGCTCACTAGTTCTAGAATCTCTGTCAGCTTCAGCTTCCATTCACTTGTCATGGCTCCTTCACACCAAACTATCCTCATTCCAGATTCAATCTTGGGATCAATTCACTCCAAATCTACCATCCATAATGTAGTGTACTTAGTCCCTGTGTAGGAATTCCCAGCTGGACTTCATCGACATGGCATGCCAGAGCGTCTCTGCTGTTTATTCCCTGACCGTGCAGATTCATGTAAACATCGCAGTTCACTTCGCAGAATATCCTGTTTAGCTCCATATATTGTGGTGGCTCTACGCTGTTCAGTTCTCGTCTCCTTCTCAGATTTGTGACAGCAGATCATCCCACACAATGGGGCTGTTCAAAAGCGTTCGCAACGGCTGGAATGACTTCACGCCCAAAGAACGGCGCGAAGCTGCCTGCTACATTCTAGGCATCATACTTTACAAGTTTGGCCTGGAGGCGTTCAATGGATCGATTATCACACTCGCCACCAACCGCTACGATTATGATGCCCTTCGCGCCAACATGCCTCCCAAGACCTTCCAACGCGTCGGGCTCATGGTCGGCCTTAATCAAGCCTGCCAGTGTGTTGGATCAATACTCATGGCTCCTCTGATTCGTCGCTATCCAGCTCGGTTGATTCTAATGGCAGCCATGTTGGTCTTTGGCATCTTCAGCGCCATCCTTCTGATCATAGATGCTTGTACCGGTGGCACCTTTGTCCCGGCTGCCTTCCGTCCTCACCACCCACAGAATGACTTCCATTACTATGGTCGTTACAACACGGACAGTATCATCCCTATTTACTGCGTGAGTGGTTTTAGTTATGGAATGGTCGAGCTCATCCGCCGCATCATTCCCAGGGACATTGTTGGCGGAAACCTAAAGAGACTACGACGCCTGGACGCTCTGGTTCACATTTTCTACGAGGTATCAGGTACCGCTGGCGCATTCTGTACTGCACTGGCCCTGATTCCTCATCTGGGGAATAATTATTCTTTCCTCGTGACACCCATCTGTTTTACACTCGCGGCTATTGCCTGGTCCTTCCTTGGAGATGATGTGTTTAAAGCTCACAAAGCGGCAGAAACCCCTGATCAGACAACATATATCCGAGCAGCGCTGAGAGGTATCAAGCTTTTTCTAGAGTCCATCTGGGTGGGTGCGCGGATCATTTTCACCACACGCAAATTCATCTGGTTGCTGCCTGGGTATTCGATTGCTCTGTATGCTCATCGCTACCTCGAAAGTGCAGTCATGCCAGCACTTGCGCGTCGCTATCTAGGCAACGCTGCATGGTCGCAGATTATGGTGGGAGGCTCCAATCTGGGAGAACTGTTTGGCGCATTGTTTGTCATCTTTCTCAATAACCGCGTGCGCACTCCCATGCCTTGGCTACGAGTCGATGCGCTCATGCTTCTCATCACATGGTATCTGCCATTCTGGAAACCCCCAGTGCATCGGCTCCGAGATGCTTTGTTCGCCGCCCTCAGCTTCGTCCCTGTTTCTTTCGGCTGGGCGGCTGGTGATGTCTCGCTGGCGGCGTATATCCAGGCAACGCTGACACGAATGGAGTCAACGTCGAGAAATGTTTCTGCGCTCGGGGCTGTCATGGCGTTCTTGTACTCTACCTATATTGTCCTCTATGCCATCACATCTCCGCTGCTGGGAAGCTATATTGACCGGGTGTATGTGGAGACCGGAGGTCCAGTTGGAGGGGGTGACATCCATCTGGCTATTCGGAATGTGGCCAGTGTGCAGTTCAGTGTGATATCCTTGTTGGTACTTGTTTCCTCGTTTGTGCCTCGGGGGTCGCTGGCGCTGAATCCGGTTGCTCTGGATGACGAAGATCTGGAGGAGGAGGATTGGGGAAACGATGTGCTGTCCTCGAAAGCGAGTGTTGTGAGCTTGCCCTTATGAGTGTGGACTTTAATAAACAGGTCAGCAGCATCAGTCTGTCATTAATGTTTAGCACGAAAAGTACCCGTTGGTAGTAGTGAAAGGCTCTAATAGCTCTAATGTGAACACACTCATAGCACAGATTTCCAAAATACTAAAGCTGACAAGTTGGGGCACTGTAGCAAACTGTAGGTTATTATCCGGGCATATCCTGTGCTCAATAATTCAGTCAAAGCGGGCCAGCAGACAAACAAATAGAAACTGTTCAGCGAAGCACACGGGTCCACCTTGCACCCACCACGAGCATGGGCGTAGCTGGCTAATGAGTCTTCTCTCTCAGGCAATATCCCCGGAAACAACGGAAGGGAAACAGTTAATACAGCCCAGGTCATGAGCTGGCATAGACCCCTCACACTCCCCACTATTTCACCTTGGTCTTGCAAGAATCGTGCAATAGTTGACTCGCAAAATCCAGGCAAACCGGCTATTCAGGGTAAATTTGTGGAGGAGCACCTCAGGTATTCCCGATCGGGAAGTTCGAGCCACGACTGACTGAAAGCGGAATGCTTAACCACGCCAAAGCGGGAGGTGGAGTGGATGTTCTTCAGCGATTCTCTCGTCCAGCATCTCCATTTGTGATGTCTGGGGAGGGTTCTTCGGTGACTATTACCCCCACAATGCAGGCATCCGCATCCCCGCATGCCGATCAGTAGTCAATATGGCTCTTGTCGGGTGTCATCGCGGCATTGCATCATGGCCATCATCCGAATTTCCACCGGGAACAAACAAGTCATTTGCGTCCAGCAAAGGGTATAAATATGTCTGTCATTCCAGCTGTTGTGAGTAAAATTGGACAAGTCTTTCTTCAGTCACAAACATCCTCAAAATGAGGTTCCTTGGGTGTCTACCGCTCCTCGGTGCAGGGCTGACTCTGGCTCTCCCTCATGGCCGAGCCAGCTCGAACGGATCCCTTCTTTCCTACCCGACCAAGCCGCGCATCTTTATCTTGTCGGATATTGCCAATGAACCAGATGATTCCGAGTCTCTTGTTCGCTATCTCGTCTACAGTAATCAGTTCCAAAATGAAGGGCTTGTGGCCGTCACTTCCACATGGCTGAAGGACCAAGTACGCCCGGACTTGATGCTGGAGACCATTGATGCCTACGCGAAGGTGGTAGATAACCTGAATAAACATGCTCCTGAGGATTCGCCGTATCCTTCGGCAGAATACATGAGAGGGATTGTGTCTCATGGTCTTCCGGTATGTCCAGCCTGCACCACTGGCATTGACCATCACTAACGCAATGAAGGTATATGGCATGGAGGCTCTCAAGGACAACAACACCTATAGCCCCGGCGCTGAACTCCTCATCAAAAGTCTCACCAACACGACCTCTGGTCAGCCCCTTTGGGTCTTGTCTTGGGGCGGCGACAACGTCCTTGCACAGGCTCTCCTGAACATATCTCTCACATATTCTCCCTTTGAGGCAGCATCATTCCGCTCAAACCTATGGGTCTACACCATCTCCGATCAAGACGACACTGGGGCTTGGATCCGCAACAACTGGCCCGAAATCCACTTTATAAACTCCATGCACGCCTTTAATCAGTATGGAGTGGCTGCCTGGTCGGGGATCTCAGGCGAGATCAACTATGATTTCGATAAAGGCGGCCCAGATTCGTCGTATGTGACGCACGAATGGCTGAAGAAGAACATCCGGATCGGACCACTCGGAGCCAAGTATCCTGACTTCGAATATATCATGGAGGGAGATAGCCCTACGCTGCTGTATATGATCCAGAACGGCCTGGGTGATCCCGAACACCCGAATTATGGCAGTTGGGGTGGACGGTACGCGCCAGTGTGTGAAACATGTGACTGGGACAATCACTACAGCGACACGGAGGACCAGGTCATCGGCATGAACAACGAAACTTTCACCTCCAACAAAGCGACAATCTGGCGTTGGAGAGAGGCATACCAGAATGACTTTGCGGCACGCATGCAGTGGACGTTATCTGCTTCGGAGACGAACAAGACCTGGAACCATCACCCGGTGGTGGTTGTAAATGGGGCGGGTGGGTTGCATCCTGTCACTGTCAATGCGTCCGTGGGGGCGAAAATCACCTTGGATGCGGGAGAGACATATGATCCCGATGGAGATGGTCTGTCCTTTGAATGGTTCCAGTATCTGGAGCCGTCCACGGATAACGCGAGCACGGAGGGGAACGTAGCCGATCTGAACATAACCACCACTTCTGGTGGAAGAGTCGCAACGGTTAAGGTTCCGACAGCGGAGGACAGCTGCGACGAGGATGGATGCCAATTGTTGCATTTGATTCTACGAGTAAAAGACACTGGGAATCCGCCGTTGACCACATACCGACGCACGCTGATCCAAGTGTCAAACAGCACGTCAGTCTAGATACAGATACCACAGAGACCCCTATTCTTACCTCCGAGACCTGTCAAATGAATGTAAAACATATCGAAGCTACACACAAATCCATCCCGCCTGATGACAGGACAGGCCGCTGCTGCCAAGATCATCGTGTCCAGCCCTAACCAGTCAGCGCTACGGGCTGATGGATGCGGGAACACGAGGTGTGAGTTGGGAAGAGGCTGTCCATCCATGATCCATGCGTCTCGTAGGAGGAAAAATAATCCTCAGCCCCTCTTCTGCGCATTCGGGCATCTGCCTATGCATCATCTTTTCCGGCCATCTCATCGTAGTTTCTTTGTTATCTCATCCAGGGGCAACCGTCTCTTTTTTTTCCCTTTCTTTGTGGCCGCCCGTCGACCTTTTTTGCCTGTCCTTCGGAACGACTTCCCCGTCTTGAATCTTAAGTATATCGCGCACATACCTGATGAAATGCTATCCATCTTAATGGCAGCCCATCTGCTCGCCCTCGTGGCGATGCTGCTCGCTACTATTGTATCAGCCCAATCTCACAGCAGCACGACCGACATCTCAACCACTTCCACCACCAGAGCAACATCCACCACAACCACCGCGATAGCAACCCATACTGTTCAGGTCGGCTCAAAGGAAGATCCTCATCAATACTCCCCTCATAATATCTCCGCTGCGGTCGGAGATGTTATCGTCTTCGAGTTCTATCCGAGAAATCACTCCGTCGTAAAAGCGGACTATCTTGCGCCGTGTGTGCCCGCCAGCGGGGAGATCTTCTACTCGGGGATATTCAATAGTTTCAATGAGGAGGATGGACAGTTAGTCGGACCGGTATGTCTACTCCCATACTCTTCACATCAGCCTCGCCCTCATACTAATGCCGCAACGTAGCCCCCAACCTGGTCCCTAGTCGTCAACGACACCGAGGTACATCCCTCCATCCACTAACCCATCCAAAGCATCACTAACCACCACAAGCCCACATTCTTCTACTGCACCGCCATAGACTCCTGCATCGGCAACGGCATGGTCGGCGTCATAAACCCAGTATTTCCTCCCTCCTCCCCTTTCCCTCTCGCATCCAAGCTAACCCTTCAGAACTCCACCATGACCTTCGAATCGCAATACAACCGCGCAAAAACCTACCCCTACATGCTCGTCCCAGGCCAATCTATCCCCGCCGAAGGCACCATCGCCCCGACATCTACATCAACCTCAACCTCATCCCCGTCCAACACCCCCTCCACAAGCTCACCAGCGCTCAGCACCGGCGCCATCGTCGGCATCGTCATCGGCTCCGTGGCCTTCATCGCTATTCTCGGCGCGTTGTTCTTCCTCCTCGGAAGAAATCGCGTCTATCGGCAGTGGATGTCCAGTCAGGATGGAAGACATGAGCGGACCGCGAGGTGGGCTGCACTGTTGAGTCCGGGGCAGAGTACTGGGAAGGGGGGTGGTAATTCTGCTGCCGGTGGTGGTGGTGGAGGGCAGAGGAAGAGTGAGATGGATGGCGGGAGTGCGTTGGTGCCGCAGAGTGAGTTTAGTGGTGCGACTGTTGGGTCGGGGTTGTCGCCGCCGTTGGGGCAGGGGATGTGGGGGTGGGATGGGCAGCAGTCGCCGCAGCATATGCAGATGCAGCAGCCGGTTGGGGGTGGAGGGGTTTATCAGGGGCTGCATAGTCAGGGACACGGACAGGGACAGGTGATGTATGAGGCTATGGTTAGGGGGCCGTCGGAGTTGGATGGGTCGGGAAGGACATGATTGTGACTTGGGAGTGCGTGGTTGGCGTAGAACAGGTGTTTTTGGTATGTTCATTATGTTAAGGATATGGATGCTATGATCATGTACTGTACCTGTTATGCTATTATGCGGTTCACTACTTCCGGGATATACCAGTATTCAAACAATTGCAATGATTTAGAACCTGCAAATCAATATACATACTACCCAGTAGCATCCTTTCTACCCAACACTCGATAAAATACTCCAAGGAAAGGTAATCTAAGAGCAATCCGTTCCCCCATAGACAAAAGTCCCATCAGAGTCCTCACATCCACAAGTACCGTCATCAGGGCTGCGAATGCATCCGGTTCCAACGCCGGAGGACTCGCCGTTGTCGCTACAGCACATTCAATTAGCATAACCCCTCATTAAATTCGCCCCGGCGGCTAGTGGTGATTGAATGACAGAAGTAGAGTGGGGATGAACATACTTCCAGAAGAACGTCCAGCAATCATCATCATCATCCGTCATCTCGCTATCCGTCGGCGCAGTGCAAGTGTACGCGCTGCAAGTACCGTAGGGAGCGCCGTAGGAGGAGTCATATTCGTGGTCGGTGACGAAGACGGCGAAGGTTTGAGTCCCTATATTGCATTTATCAGTATATTGCTTCATCTTTCGGGATTGAGGTGTGGACGTACCGGAAGTACGAGTGTTGTGGGAGCACTCGGCTGCCTGGATGGCGGTGGAGGTTTTGGCGGCTATCATCGTCATTAGTATCATTGTTTCTTTTGCTTGTAGGGGGTAGGTAATATTATCATGGAATATGGATAGGATAGGACAGGATACACACCAGAGCAGTTATAAGTACCCGGACACTTTCCCTTAGTGTTAGAGCTGGCGGGGTCAACGGTAGCAGCAGCCAGAGCAGCGCTGAGAAGGATGGTGAGGAGGGATTTGGTCTGCATGGTGATTCTTATTCTTTCTTCTTTCTTTGCTTCTTGGATAAGCTTTTTGTTTGATTTGTAGGTGAGGGAACTTCCGTCTTTATATACTCACCCCCATCCACCTATATAACAACCGCATTATACATCCATCACTTCATCTCAAACAGGGGGTGGAGCCCATCTCCCGGTCTAGAAGTGTTCTGGTGTTTCGTCACGGTGGCTAGTCTAGTCTAATACTTAAGCTTGTTTGAGGTGGGGATCCACTCACACTGCGGGTGGTAGATTAAGGGATGATTTGCCGCGGTGGCAGTGGGTTTACCGTAGATTCGTACGATCGGTGTATTATTGGGGCGGATGACAGATTCTTTGACGAATGGTCTAGCTTTCTAGTATTGTGTATGCTTAATATGAAGATGTGGGTACAGTCTGGTTGGTAGTTGCCTGGAGATCGGGCTTATCTGATGTTAAGTAGCCTACGTGGACGTGTGGGTGGGTTGCCGAGTCAGACCATACTTGATACATTGGATGCTGGAGTCTAGGTCGGGTGTACGTATTCCTACTTGGCAGGCTACGGTGGGTACTGTCTACTGCGGGATTGATGGGCGTGAAACTCCGTTTTTGGGTCAGTTCTAGATCGACTTCTATCTGTCGCGTCTTTCATTTCCGGCCGTTCGTCATTCGTAAATCCAACCAATATTTCCCAAGTCATAATTTCATGATAAGATATTCCTCTGTGACGCCTCCATCTTGCTCATACGCCGTCTCTCTACCGCGTTGAAGTCGTAGATCATAACCAAACTCCTGACCTGACCAGCCATCATGCTTCGACATGGCTGCGTACCTCCAGAGGCACACAGTCCGGCCCGAGCTTCGTCACCAAGATCTCTGCTCTGTCCGGTGTCCAATCTCCTATACCGGTTCCTAAATCAGCCAATGGAATGACTATGTCGAGGTCCAACGCTGAGGGATCCAAGTCCGCATTGGACGAAACAATGGCCCGGATGAGTTGGTGGGCAGACGTCCGACCTGCTATGCCGCAGCCTGCCCTCTTGCACACCGGAATGGCAACCTCAAAGACCTGAGCTTCCGCTGATCCCCCAAGCGTGGCATTCATATCAGGGAACCTCCACCGACTATGAACAAGCTGTCCCAATCGCATGATCAGCCGGCGTCGCGGGCCATCCTCCAATCCGGATTTGCTAGTCCGTGTGAACATAATGGGCTGGTGCACGAATTTGCGGGCGGGAGTCGGCTCAGAGCAAATTGCACAGGCAAATTTGGCGATCTGAGGAAGGCACTGCTCGTTGTACTTTATGATGTCTTTGCATTTCACTGCCTTGTCGGCTTTGTTTTTGCACGAGTTCGGGAAAAAGTCCTGGCGCCAATCGGATGTGAGTACAATGCAGCTGAGATGGACGGGTCGATCTTTCTGAGCACGTGGACTTCCCACGAAAACGGTGATGGCGATCGGGTAGAGCTTTTCGCGTTCTGGCTCAACGATCTGGAAGGACAGGGAGCTTGGGGAGCTGGCTCCACTGACGATATCGTAGTCTTCCATGCTGTCGGTGCTGTCGTCACTGAAGTGGCTGTGCTCCTCAAGGCTGGAGGTATCAATTTCGAGATGATCGGGATTATCGCTAATACTCAGCAACTGCGTGGCCGGAGCTTTCTCAGGCTCATTCTGATAGATCTCAAACCAGGCGGAGGCGGAGGCGAAGCCAAAGCCACTGCTGGCGCTCAGCCGCGCTCGAGGAGAGTCGGATTGGGAAGCAAGGGTGCTGCCGGGACTGGAGGCAAGGGACCCGATTGGGCTGGCGAGCGTGTTGTTGATTGTTGTTGAGTCCGACATCTTCGAAGTCGATACCCAGGAGAGTCAACAAAGATGAGGCTGACGTCATGAGCGGTGACAGGGACGTGCCATAGTGAAAATTTCATATACGATGAGTTTGTAGTGAGAGAAGGCTGATAACACTGAATGCATTGCTAGTGAATAGCCTATTGGTGTTGCACAGCAGCGATAAGAACATCTGCCATGATTCACATTCGGTAGGATAATAAGATTAGGATCCTCATTTCATCAAGTACGCACTTGATTGCACTGGAAGCTGAGTACCCAGATAGATCCCAGGCCAAGTGTTTTGTGGGTGGTACTAATAAGTGTGCAGCGCCCGGAGAGATGTAGATGGAGAGGCAGCCAGGCACAACTATCAAAGAGGGGGGATATTAATAGTTAGTTTAAGTACTAGTTAGTCGGCGGCCCGCCAGTCATCTAAATTCAACCACGCCCGATTGGGTTGAGGGGTCAGCATTCAGCTGTAAGTCTACTAAAATACAGTGCAAGCAGGCTCAGCTAGACCCCAGAATTACCCCAAATTGTGTACATCATGAGACAGCTGAAACAAGAAATTGTTGCATTGATTGCAGCCAGTTGCAAGCCAGACGATGGCTGGCCAAGGAGTGGAGGAGGGATTAATTACTACTAACTAATAGTAAATGGGGAAGGAACCAGACCACCGCAAGCGGGCACCACGTGATGTGGAGGCGGCATTGCCCCTTTGCGGCCGGAAAAGAAACCTCCCAGATTCCTGCTTCCTGCCACCCTCGACGACCGCTTATCGGCTTCGCTCCTTTTCCTTCTTGCATGTATTCTACTTGTTTGCTTCATATGACCAGTCCACTTCGTTGACTCCGCGCTTCGTTTCTCGTCTCGCCATTGTTCCCGATCGCGTGTCTTGAGTCCGCTCGGATCGCTGTCGTGGCTTGATTTACACCGATCGATGTACCTGGAACCAAACTTTCTCGTCAATCCTTCATTTACGGCCTTTTCTTATCCGTTCATGTGGACTACTGCTTGTATCATCTACACTACGTTTTAATCTCTTCGCAATTGTTCCAACTGTGACGATAACAGCCCTACACCATGAAGATTCACTCTTCGTCGCTTCTCCTCTTCCTCCTTCCTGCGCTTTCGGTCGCGCTCACGGATCCGAGCTCGGCCAACAACGGTGCAAAGGACGCTCTTCTTGCTGAGCGGGAAGCTTCGACACCAAATGCCGTCGAAATAGATGCCGCCGCCGCACCCAAGCCCGCCAAAGGGACGCTGGACGCCCCGATCGACGGCAAGGATGGTCGGCCACATGCGGGTCCCTGGGTAGAAACAAGTGCAGAGCGGGATCGCAAGAAGACGGGCTCTACCACCTTGTCGGAGGAAAAGGCAAAGACCGATCCTAAAGCGGAACAATTGGGCCCTGATGGCAACCCAATTCCCTACTCCAACGACGGCGTGATGGATGATCCTCATCGGACGGGCCCCAAGGAGGGTACTCGTGGGACAGAAGGTGGGGTGTCTGAGAAGCTGAGGGAACCATACAACAATGAAAAGACGCCGGGCAGTCCGAAGGAGGCTCCTCCGTTGCCGCACAGTGAGCAGCAAAAGCTGCCAGTGGCGGGTCAGGATGCCGATGTCAAGGACACCAAGGGATCGAGCACCGACTCAACCCTCGGAAAATTGGAGGTATTTGAGACCTTTATCATGAGGTTAGATGACGCTTGCTGATGTATTTCAGAAACCCGCAGATTTGCCAGAAAAGCCCCACGACATCCCACCTCCCAAGTCCCCGGCCACGGTCAAAGATAGCCCTCTCGGTCTCGATAAGCATGGCTCCTCGGGCAACAAGCCTGGCGAGCCGCTGGAAGAGGGAACTGCATTCCACTCGTTGTTATTCTCCTTCACCATGATCATCGTATCTGAAATTGGTGACAAGACTTTCCTGGTTGCCGCGCTCATGGCTATGCGTCATCCGCGTCTGCTCGTCTTCTCCGCCGCTTTCAGCGCCCTCATCTTTATGACTGTTCTCTCCGCTGTCCTAGGCCACGCAGTACCTACTCTGATCCCCAAGTCTCTGACGAAATTGTTGGCTGCTGTTCTGTTCTTCGTGTTCGGTTTGAAGATGCTCAAGGAAGGTCGCGAAATGTCGCCCGACGAGGGTGTTGGAGAGGAGATGAAGGAGGTCGAAATGGAGCTGGAAGAAAAGGAGCAGGAGCAGCTGCGTATGAACCGTCGCCGTTCGTCCGTGACTCCCCACTCGTTGGAGGCTGGCCGCGTTGGTCGTCGCAAGTCTCGCTCCTCCGGCAACCGTCTTCCCTCACCTCCCGAGAGTGTTTCATCGTCGTCCTCTCGTGCTTCCTCTCCCTCTGGTAACCGCTGGAATGATGTTCTTGTCGGAATGAACAACCTTTTCTCGCTTCTTCTCAGTCCCGCCTGGGTTCAGACTTTCGTTATGACCTTCCTGGGCGAGTGGGGTGACCGCAGTCAGATTGCAACCATTGCTATGGCTGCCGGTCAAGATTACTGGTGGGTGACCATCGGAGCTATCTCCGGACACGGACTTTGCACTGCGGCCGCCGTTATTGGCGGCAGTGCTATTGCTGGCAAGGTCAGCATGCGCGTCGGTACGTACTCCTCCTTTCTAGTTTCACGGCTGTTGCTAACGTGTCACAGTAACGCTGGGCGGTGCCACGGCATTCTTGGTCTTTGGTGTCATCTACTTGGTTGAAGCCATCTATTAGACCTTCATTTGCTCCCGCTTGTGTCTCACATATCGGGTGGTTCACTTCAGTATAGATTATGCGATATGGTGCTTGTAATATTCGCGCCTTAGCGATGTTTTAATAAAATTCTTGATGCAGTATAATTAGATTTATCATTCACAGTGATGCGCATTCTGTAGTGTATTTCCGCGACTAACAGGCTGATTTTGTACTTTCGTTCCTCGGACTAACCTCAGTAGGGTAACTAGCATGTACTGCACAGTGAGCGCAATCAACTCCAACAATCTATGTAATCAGTTATACTCAATCCAAGCATATACTTGTCCAGTCTTTCAGGCCAAGATTGGTACTATGCGTCAAAAAGAGAAAGAATACACCCAGAGCCTGAGCAAAACCATACAACACGACTGCCCATCAAAAACCATTTTAACTATCCTCTGCACCACAGCTTCATTCCTTTCATTCTACCAAATATGTCTAGCAGTCTGCAATAGACCCTTGAGTCCAAGGAGCGCATTGGCACATGTTCCAGTAATAACTACATTCACACGTCCTACTTACTGTCTTTCATTGCATCGCTCATTCAGTACGCGCCACAGCCAGCGGCATATTTATGAGAAGTTGAAGATCCAT